AACATGCAATGTAAGCCGAGAAGGGCAGCCAGAGGCCCAGCGAAGGCAAAATGAGAAGGCATGCACTTTTCTGGAGTGCCTTCTCCTCCAAGCCTTTCCCAACTTGTCTTCATCTCTCACCTCTGGGCTTCTGTTGGCAAGATTCTCCCAGCTTTAAACCTTAACCTTGTGTCACTTTTCTCAATAGCACTCATCTCTCTTAATACATTTGTCCTATCAAAATTAAAGCCCCACTACAGGCAGGGACTTTTCGTTTCCTGCTGTTGCTCCATTGCCTAGACCTGTGTGGCATCTAGTGGCAGTTCTCCCCCACCTATCAGCTTACTTTTCAGTTACATGGCCTATACTTCTGTACTTCAGTGTGTACCCTGTACGCCTGCATCACAAGTGCCTCTAAGATGAAGTACAGCTAAAAATGGGGTTGTTTTTCTAGTGGAGAGGCTTTGGGGAGGCAGAAACCCAGAAAAATTGGGCCTCCAATGCTACAGAGGAACAAGATTCAGTCAAGTTGTTTTTAAAGAGACCCAGGCCCTTGGAGAACTGTTCACCCTAGGGCCCTATATGGCCATCCATATATTAGGCTATCATTCAGTATGATCTGGGTTAGCCAACAGATTTAAAAAAAATAATGGAATCACAACTAAGGGGAAAGAGGTAAGCTATAGATGGTTTGGTATTATTCTATTCTTATAAAACAACTTTTATAGATACAGGAATACACACAAGCTATATATTTCTTATATAGCTCATTAAGTGAAAAATTTTTAAGGATTTAGGACATACCAAACTCTTTTACCAAGGGGTAACTTTTTAATTCTATAACTGACCTGGATTTTTTAATTAGAAAAGCATTAATAGTTAAAATTAATTAAAATCCCTGCAAAATCCATACAATCAGGGAGCTTCCAAGGTCATTTCCTCTTTCCACTGAGGAAATAAGCACATGGACAAACTCCCTGGACTACCCAGTCAGGAGGCTCTCCAGTAATGAAGCAGTGCTTTGAAATGAGCTGAAGCTATCAAAGGCGAAGTGGCAAAAGGGACACATTGGTTTCCAAGACAGAAAAGGCAAATCCAAAATACAATGGGCAACCTTCTTGGTAAATACCTCTGGTCTCTTCTTACAGCACCCTGTTATCTCCCACAACTCTAAACCTGACAATTTTGGGGAGGACAAAAATCATTACTAATTTGGTGCCCTGGCACCAACAAGGATAAGAAATACAGATGGAATAACTAGATGGATAGAAAACATCATGTACACAGTAACACAAAAACTGGACAAAGTGGCAAAGTTGGGAGTTTCTTCAGGGAGCACCCCCTTCAAGGGCAACTTTGAATTTGACTTTTCAGTGTTTTGAGCATGTGAACAATCTATGGCCAGTAGGTGGAGCCTGAGTAACTGCCTTCTAACCTTCAAGCCAGCCACTGGATGCACATTTTTAAGAGTAAGCCATGCTTGACACTAATGACATCTCTGCCCCACTAGTGGGTAGTGCTAATCCCACTTCCCAGCACCCCTGAGGCTCACTTGTAAAGGTAAGGGGTTTGGCACAGGGATGGAGGTTTTTGTGTATGTACAAAAGCAGTGGCAGACACTATCTTGAACCCAGGATAAAAGAGGTAGCCCCAGGAAAGCATACAAAGACAAGAAGACTACAAAGGTTGCTGAGGGCTGGAGTAGGGTCACAGGATGAATTCTGGTGAGCAGGGCCAGATCTGCCCAACTGCGGGGCAGGACTGGGTGAAACTGGGAGGATCCTCCCCAAGCTCCTGCTTTGGGAACCAGAGCCAGTCTGGAAACCTGGAAACAAGAGCCCTGGGACCTTCTGCAATTTTCAATTAACTGTCAATTCTGAGCCATGTCAGCTTCCTTGTGCAAACCCAGCAGCTGTAACAGGTTATTACAAAGGAAAGGTTCTGGGGAAGTAAAAGGGAGTTTCACCAAAAACCACTATTGTAAGTGAATGGCATTATTTCAAAGGGTGGAAAGGAATTGTCAGAAGAGGACATTTACTTATTTTCAGGAGAGTCCTAGTTGAATCTTACACCTTATTTCAAATAATTTTTCAAATAAAGGTCAAAATAAGTAGCAGTATTCAAATGCTATTATTAGCACCGTAATGCAAAACATAACACTTTTGCACATGACCATTTATTTCCTCACAGATAGAAAAATTTGAGCCTCTTAAAGTGAGTGAGGTACACCAAGACCTCCAACATTTTGGGTTTCTCATTACTAAGTTTTAAAATTATGGAAGGGTCCAAACCAGTCCACACTCCACATTTTAACAGTGAAAGGGTAACTAGAAGATTCATATACAGTATTATGGAAAAGAAAAAGGAAATAAAGTCATTAGGCGTTTGACAAGGGTAAATGACTCACCTACATTGGTAAGAAACATACTGTCTTGTTGCAATTTAAAACTGTTCCCTCTCCCAAAAAAAAAAAAAAAAAGCAGTGGTTTCAAATATGCTCCCATAAAAGGACTCATCATTCCTTGGAAAAATGAGGCAGGGGCAGGGAAAATACAAACCAGCCTTTCACCTCTTGCAGTTCAAGGCAGCAAAGAATACAAAAAAATGTTGAAGGCTGTCAAGACAAGAGTCTACTGGGAGGAGCTCCCAACAGCCAAAGATGAACAGTTTGAACAACAAGAACAGTATTGACCCATGGAATAAGATATCCCTTAGTCAATAACTAATAACAACAATCAAAATGTAGAGAAGGGACAACTGCTCCTTACAGATTTCTAATTAGATTTCTAATACCGCAAAGACCAACCAGTATCTTGTTGCAAACAGTAACTCAAAAATGTCAAAATTAGTAAACCCCAAATTTGGTAAAGTTTATCCCTCCCTACTTATTAACTACAAAAGGAAAATAATCATCCTTACAGTGGAGAAATATAGAAAACACTACCTAAATTAATCAAGTGGTCAAAATTAACATTACCAGTATCTAAGATATGTGGACATGATTATGTCCTGACATAATGGACTGAGAAGGGCACATTACTTGTGATCTTCTTACAAAAAATGACCTCCATCTGATAGAAATGTCCAATTCAAGGGATAGCTATAAAGTAACTGGCCAGAATACTCAAAAAAAGTATCAAACTCATAAATGATGAAGACTGAAACCTACTAAATGAAATGTGTATAACCATGCGCTGGATAATAAGCCAGAAGAAATAAACAAGAACTATTCACTACTCACTAGATAACCCACTACAATCCTGCACCAATAGTGAGTAGTGATTTTCTGGTTTTGGTAAGCGTGCTGTGGTTCTGCAAAGGTTAACACATGGGAGAAGTGGAGTGAAAGGTGTGTAGAAATGCTCCATACTATTTTCACTGAAATCTAAAATTACCCCCAAATAAGTTTTTAACACAGGAACATGTTGGGGAGACATAGCCAATCAAATATAACTAAAGTTAACGTTGTGAAGTTTATACATTTTGCTTAAAGGTTTAAAATATTTTGAATACTGTGTGTGGTAAGATTGTTCACCTCCCCTCATCTTCAAGCAAGGAGAAAAGTAAACAAACATGGTTATTTAAAAGTCATAAACGAAGTGATAGAACAAAAGCATTGAGGGTAAACAGTCCACAACTCCAATGGCAGAGTTATTAGCAAGTAAGAGAACTAGTTTAGTTGCATTTTTGGGTCTTCACTAAAGAAACTTCTGGACCAAATTTGCAGGACAAACAATCTAATTCATGTACTACAGAAAAAGTCTCTATTATATATATATATATATATATATATATATATATATATATATATATATATATATATATATATATATATATATATAATGTGTTTTTTAAAACGCAAATCCAGTATCCTAACTTCAACAGTCAGGGAGAGCTAGGAAGGAGGCAGTCTTGCCAGGGTCTCCAAACTCCTCAGTTCACCCTCAAAGCCGTATGAGTATTCTCTATATGATGTGAAAAGCACTGGCTCCAATGACTGAGGCACGAACATTTCAAATTGCAATAAAAGCATCTTGAATAAACTCATATCGAGAATACAAAAAAAAAAAACTAGCTAAAATTGCTTTCAAATTTGAGTTTCAAAAGGTATTTTCCCTTTTGATAGTGAAAATACTGAAACAGTTAACCTATGGAAATCATCCAGAATTAAGAGCTAAAATTGTAGACACATTTCTAATTCAGAAATTGGCCATCTTCAAACTGATGTAAGCACAATTAAGTCCCCAATTTAAGTAGAATGTATTTCAAATAGCTTGACAAATAGGAGTATCTAGGGTACTGTACTGTGCCTTGGACATTTAAGTGTCTGATATGGTAATTACAAATAGGCATTGAATTTCACTGTACCCTTGACTTAGGAATCTGGACTGTCATTTTAAGAAGCAAGTCATTTTAGGGCAAAGTACTATTCAACAGATTTAGAACCCTTTCTTATTATAAACATTTTCACCTTTAATCAAATTTGGGACATCTTAATAGCTAAAATTCTTTAAGGCAGAGAAGCCCCAAACCTTAGGAAATAATGGTGAACACCATTATGGCTATATGGTTCAAAAATGAAAAGCTCAACAGAATTTATTTTGGGTCCTGCATCCACACTGAACCCTGTCTAAGTAAACCACTGTTTCAGATTTATACATTTATATTCTTGATATTGGGCTTTGTATAGCAGGTATGTGGTCAGGTTCCGAAAGGGCTAGTACAGGGCCTGGCAGTTAACAATACACAATTAAGTATTTGGTGAATGATTTAACCAGTGGTACTACCTTTCCTGGGAAGTTTTTGGAAACAAAGTCCTATGAATGTTAGACAACCTTGCTTTACAGATCATAATTATTTTATCCAGCCCTAGGTACAAAAAGCAAGCCTGAACTATTTTTTTCATCTCAGCAAATTTTCTGAAAATAGTTGACATCTCAACCTCTTAAAAACTCCTTATTCTCCAAATATTTAATAAAATATAGCAGGTTTAAATAATACTAATAAAATGGTACTAGAAGTGATGCTCAACAGGATCTCACGTTTATTGAGAAGTGATTAATGGTAAAAAGAAAGGTAATGCCCTTTCCTCATTGGCTGAACAAGAAACTGAAGAAACATTCACTACACGTTTTACAATATTTTTCTCTTCCAAAATGCATTTCTGTAAACAAGCTTTTACCACTGTTCTTAGCTTTGAAATCAAATTAATCCTGACTTAATCAGTATAATGTACAAGAACAGAACAATTCTTAGGACTCCTAGTACTTTACTTTGAGTAACAAAGGGTCAGAGAAAAATGAACCACCCTTAAAGACACAAACTTGGGTAACACTGTTAAATTCTCCAAGACAAATTCTTCATAAAAATGTTCTTCCAGTTTGGAAGGGAAAAACCAAATTCCCACTTTCTGGGGTGGAGGCCCAAAACCTTCGAAACTCAAGTGTTCTCCAAGTGCAAATGTCAAAATGGGGGGAGGAAAGGGTTTAAAAATTAGAGAAAACTGTATGCACTTACGGACTTTAAAATCCGAAAAACATAGTAAAAAGACAAAAAAACAAAGCATTATGCTCTGAAATCACAACCAAAGCCAAAATAAAAGGGACATTTTTCACCTAAGCTACCTAGAGGGATTTTTTGTTTCGTTTTTTTCTTTTTCTTTTTTTTTTTTTTCATTTTCCAGTTAAGTCCTATGTCTTTTGTGAAATTCCAATACTTAAACTGCAAGTCTGCAATCGTCTCTGAAGTCAATGAAATTAAGAAAAAAGTCCTAATTCTCTTGAAGGTCATTTTTTTTCCTCTTAGGATATGCAGATGCAACCGTTGCTGCAGTCTTTGCAGAACTGCCTTTTATTTCCCACGACCTTGACGTTCCTACAGGTTAAAAAAAAAAAGTTGAAACCGTTAGTTATTTGAACATGCTTGCTTTATTAAAACTTCATAGAACAACTCAACAGAAATTTAACCACTTGTCTAGATAGAATGTTCCCCACAAATAAAAACTGATGTTTACTTTTCTACTTTAATCCAAAGTGGGAACAGTCAAGCATCCCAATAGTTTTCTTATTTTTCATTTAAGCTAATACTTGTCAGTCCCCCAAAATATAGGCCTAGTGGAAGTAACTCAAACATGTATCAATTACCTGAAGAAGTAAAGCAGCCTAGGAAAAACCTAACAGTATGGGAATCATCCCATACTTGTAGCCCCAAGGCCTTAGCCATACTCATAAGCCTCAATTTCCTTTTATGTAAAACCAGAATACTCATAGGGCTGTGGGAGAATTCATACACTGATACATACAAAGCTGAGTCCACAGCAAGCCATAAAGTCATCCTCCTCCTCTTGAGAGAGTCTAAAATCCACTTAGAGATGGAGTTTGAAAATTTGTTTTGCTTGAAATAAATCTAGAAGCTCATTTCTTATAAGCACTCATTCTTTATAAGCCTTTCATAAATTTATCCTAAACAGCTTCCATTTCACATGTACTCTAATTTTTATAAATATGACTCAATCTACATGCCTTTTAAAGGCAAAAGCATTAAATGGTACAAGCACAGATGCCTGAACTTACACTTCTTTCATCAATCTAATTGAGTCGTCATTTTCTTCTTCTTACCCTAAATAACTTCAAAAGCCAGTAACTATAGTTCTGAAATGATTCCTATTGAAAAGAAGAGCAACTCACTATGGGCTTCCTTGTTACATGCACTGTACATTATTATAATCTTCATAATCACCCTGCAAGGTCTATATTATTCCTACTTTGGAGATAAGAAAACTAAAGCTTGGAAGATTATATGATCAAGGTCACCAGCTATTTCAATAAGAAAAGGTTTAAATTTAAGACTACACTGCCTTTTTCAAAAGTATGTAATTACAAACGTAATGTTTTATGATGAACCGTCTTTCCCTACCACTAAAATAATCTATGAATATAAAAACAGTAGATTATTTATTCAGAAGGTACAGTTATCTTTTTGTGAATTTCCACTTCATGTATCTGGAATTCAGCAATAAATTCACCAACCACCAAGAGCTGGGATGTTATTTTTAAAATAAGTCATTCTGGAGTTTAAAAAAATTAACTCTTGGACCCTCCCTGGTGGCGCAGCGGGTTAAAGCACTACACTGAGAAGCTAAAGCCACTTCTGCATGAGTTCGATTCCCGCCTGCCCCAGAGGTGACCACATGGTGTGGCAGACCTCTCCTGGCCTGCCCGCTGCTTCCCTCAGCAGTGTACTTCATCGATCTGCCTGTTCTGCTCCCCACTCTGTCTCTGCTGAAGCCTCTCACCGCCCCTGAGCTTCTGGCCTATACCCCAGTTCTGTATGTATAAATTAACTAATTAACTCATACACAAACCCCTATCTTTATAATTCAAAACTCAATTCAAGAGTAAGAAAAAAGTTGGCCTCCCAAGGGCCCAAGGGGTTAAGTCTCAGCATTATGAAGCTACTGGCAGCCACTATAAAAGTCCAAACCTGGCCAGGGAACTAACCCAAATGGCACAGCAGACCTCTCCTGTCTTGTCTGCTGCTCCCCTCAACAGTGTATTTCAGTGTACCTGCCTGTTCTGCTCCCCCACTGTCTCTGGTGAATCCTCTCACCACCCTCCTCCAAGTCTGGTCTATACTCCAGCTCTTTTATGCATAAATCAATCTTAAAAAAAGAAAAATTTCTGTCCAAATAGGAAACATCAGAAGTTTGATGTTCCTGAGACGAGGTACTGAAACTCCCTCCCCTTTTGTCCTCTCTACACAAAATCTCAAAGGTTTTGACAATGGCTATATTGTTAAGAAAAATAAATTTTTAAAAATCTAGAGTTTTTTTAACTGAAGTCAAACATTCAATAGTAACTTGTGTTCTCATCAATCTTAAATTTGCTTACCTAATTAAATTTGTTTACCTTGTTATAATTTGGATGGGAACCATTTATCTAACCTGTCTTCTTTACTAATCAAAATTTACCCGTGGTTTCAGGAATTATAAACATTTTGGTGTCTTTCTTGACTGAATTTCATTCCTGTTTCTTTTTAAAAAGATTTATTCATTCATTCATATAGAACTGGGCGTGTACAGGCCATAGGTGCAGGGGTAGAGAGAGGATTCACCAAAGACATAGTGAGAAGCAGAACAGGCAAACTGACGAAGTGCACTGCTGAGGGGATCAGTGGGTAAGACAGGAGAGGTCTGCTGGACCATGTGGGTCAGCTTCCCTGGTGGGATCAAACTGCTTTTTGATTCTTTAAGCCAAGAGAATGCCTGGTCTCTGGGCTTCAAGGTACAGTTCCACACCCCTTCTATCTTTAAGACTCCACCTTTCAATGTCCTTCTAAAATCTGTCCACAATTAAAAACTACACTGTGGGCCCTCTCTGGTGGCATAGCTAGACACAGAAGTTTCAGCTTCAGCATGATTTCAATCCCCAGCCAAGGTGGTGACCCACGTGGTGCAGCAGACCTCTCCTATCTCATGCGCTGCTCCCCTCAGCAGTGCACTTCGTCAATCTGCCTTTTTAAAAAAAAAAAAAAAAGACTTATTTATTTGTGCATACAGAGCTGGGGTACAGGCCAGAGGCTCAGGGGTGGTGAAAGGCTTCAGCAGAGACAGAGTGGGGAACAGAACAGGCAGATGGACGAAGTACACTGCTGAGGGGAGCAGCGGGCGGGTCAGGAGAGGTCTGCCACGCCATGTGGTCACCTCCCCGGCAGGCGGGATCGAACCCATGCAGAAGCGGCTTTAGATTCTCAGTGCTGTGCTTTTAACCCGCTGCGCCACCAAGGAAGGCCAATCTGCCTGTTTTGCTCCTCACTCTGTGGCGAATCCTCTTATGGCCTGTCTTTGGCTGTACCCCAGTTCTGTATACATAAATCTTTAATTTAAAAAAGAAACTACACTGTATTGTCCTATTTCATGTAAAACTGGTCCCTACTCAATCAAAATGCCCTAAAAAGCAAGTAACAGGTCTTCAACTAATCTCATTTACAAACTGTGAGACTGGCAGTAGTTAAAAGGTTACAGCTCACTTTTAAATAACATTCTGGCTTTCATTATAAGGAAAGAAAATAGTCTGTAAAAGAGATGGTGTTAATTAAGCTTATGATTATCAATTCTAAATATATATAAGTAACAAAATTATTTTTCTATTTCTTTAATAGTATTATATGTCACTTAAATCTCAATAAAACTGGGGGGGGAATCCACCTATTATCTCCTATTTAACATAGCCCCTGAAATACAAATAACTTGGAATCCCCAAATTATTATCACTAAGTTACAAAATCTGAATATTACCAAGTTCATTTCCCCCTAAAAAACACACATATAAGATCATCAAGCAAGCTTAGTGAAAGTACTTACAATGTTTAGTTAGAAAAAATTCACAAACCACTATGTAAGGTACACAAATAATTGCATCATTTCATCTCATAAACACAAGTTTGCTCCTCTCTATAGAGTAATACCACATCTTAAATGACTGTTGAAATTTTGCCTAAAACACAACACACAACTATCCCTCAATCTTAACTATATATAATGCTCTTTATCAAGGGAAATAGTGGTGTTCTAATATGAATCTATATACAACAAGGCTTACTTTAAATTATGAAAATTACTTAAGAATATTAGCTGTCTTGATTCAAAAAGACACCTGCACCCCCATGTTTATTGCTGCTTTATTTACAATTGAAAAGGCATGGAAACAACCCAAATGCCCAAAAGTAGATGAGTAGATGACTGGATTAAAAAGAATATTACTCAGTAACCCCCCCCCCCAAAAAAAAAAAAAAAACCATTCCTTTTGCAGCAAAATGGATGGAGCTGGAAAAGATCATGCTCAGTGAAATAAGCCAGAAAGAAAAGGAAATATACCGGATGGTTTCACTCATAGCAGGAATATAAAGGACCAAGGGAGAAAATAATAATAATGAACTATATGCCACAGACATTTTATGGGGGTGGAATGGAATCAGAAACGATGGGGGGGAGGGAAGTGCACTGAACTATAGTGATGGCACACAGGTGATTTGGTGACGGGAAGCCCACAGGGATTACAACTGAGATGGAAAAAGGCACAACATGATGTAAAAATAAACTAATTTTTTTTAAAGAGTATTAACTGTCTTAATCTAATGAACAAAAAAAAAATAAATAACATTAATACAATTCAGCAAGCTGACAAAATTGCTCTTCCATTTCCAAATATTCTTGGCAGGTGCCCCCAAAAATAAGCTTCTGTATTTACAATAGTAAAGATAACATCCATCTTCTCAGGAATTATAGATACAATAGCACTCATATCATACTATCTTAAAAAGTAAAATAGTGGGTGCTGCAGTGGCTGCAGATAGCTTCATCCTCTGCACCACCAGAGAGGCCCAAGAACATATTCTTGCTTCTAGGAGCTGCACAGCAAAATATCTAGGCAAAAAGGGCATAATGTCTGGAATTTACTTTCAAATTGTTCAGAGGAAAATTACACATTTCAAAAAAGGATAATAAAGCAAATATGACAAAACACTACATTGATAATATGGGTAGAGTTATTCTGGAGATTCTTTGTACTATTTATTCAAAATTAAAATGGGGCGGGGGCAGCTTTTAATTAAACTATAAAAACTGGCTGCATTTATCTGCTACAGTTAGCAATTCACAAAACTTGGAAATTTATTTTCCAGACCTACACTAAAAGTCAAGCACAAAGGTATTTTAGCAAGATACTAAAGTCTGCTCAGGAACTTTTACGTCTTTTAAGATGACAAAGGGACAACTTTTAGACATTAAAGTTGCTATTAAAGACTTTTCTTACAAGGAGGTTTTCCTTCACTCTTGTGACAATTTCCTATTTATCACTGGAACAATTCCACAAAAT